GCAGGGTGACAGCGTGCCTCCTGGAGAAGTGGGACACAGGGTGACAGCATGCCTCCTGAAGGGGGGGTGCAGGGTGACAGCACGCCTCCTGCGGGGGTGCAGGGTGACAGCATCCCTCCTGGGGAAGGGGGGCACAAGGTGACAGTGCACCTCCTGGGGTGACAGGGGTGCCTTGGGCTTGGAAACTTCAGCCCTGGGTTCCAGGTGGAGAGTCCTGTCTGTGTGCCAGAGGTCACAGCTCATGTGGTCTGATGGCTGCCAGCCTGCTGCTGCTGGGCACGCGTGGACGGATGGACAGGCAGGACTGTGTTCTGTCCGTCAGCTCATACTGCATTTGTCACAGTGAAGTGGGGCCAGAGCTCCGGTTGCCTGTGGGAGGCGAACTCTCTGTCGTTTGGGAGGCAAGAGCCACAGGTATTGTGCCAGCTGCCACATGCACGCCCCGCGGCTCCTCAGAGGACAGGCTGCCTAGTGCTGCTCAGGAAGAAGGGGCACCTGGTCTCCGCAGGAGTTCCCGTGCTGAAAAGCGGGGTCCCCATCTTGCTATTGGTGGCGGCAGCTACTGGAGCCTCCTTTCTTCTTTTGTTCTGCCTCTGGTCCAAGTGCCCAGGGACGTCCGCTCTGCTTCAGGCCCCCTGCGCCCGCCCTCTGTGTCACCCAGCCCCGGACTGGGCACTGGCTGCTTCTACCAGCAGAGTATGGAAAAGTGATGCTTCCTGACTTCTGAGGCAGCCATCAAAGGCTGCTATGCGGGGCGGGAGCCAGGGCAGGCGTGGGGCCACCTGTGGGTGTCCGGATCCGTGGACTCAGTCCACGCCCTCTCAGCCTGGCGCCCAGCCTGAGGATGAGTCCTGCTGCTGTCACCCAGCCTCAGTCCTCCTGTTGAGGTCCCCAGTGTTGTCAGTTGACACAAGCAATCCATCCACGTTTTCACAATTGTGGGGTAGTTTGTGAAAGGGCAAATTTTTTTAAAAAATTAATTTTTACAAAATAATCTATAATTTTAAGACAATTCCAATCCAAATGTTTTCTTAATACTTAACAAACTAGTACTAAAATTAATATGGAAGAGCCAAGAGTTGAGAATAGCTAAAATAATTCTGAAAAGAACCAGGTGGGCGTTCTCACGTGCTGCGCTGCCAGCTTCCTCTGAAGCAGTGGACACTGATGGTGGGGACAGATGCCTAGGTGAGCCACAGTCAAGCCCACCACTGCGTCACCCTGGGGTGTGGCAGGTGGCGACTGGGCCAGGGGAGCAGGGTGACTGGTCCTGTGTGGAAAGAAATGACACCAGGTCCCCACTTCACACTGTAGTTGTCACCACACGGGAGTGAGTCCCAGTTGTGTTACTGAGTAAATGTAAAAGGCATAATTACAGTGCTGAGATGAAAATGTAGGAGAACATCTTTATAGCTTTGGGATAGGAAGAGATTTCTTTAGAAAGGTGCAGAAAGTGTGGCCTACAAAAGAAAAGATCAATAATTTGACCATGTTAAAATTAAAAGCTCTGTGTATGAAAAGACAATAAACAAAGTCAAAATTTAGCCACACTTGGGGAAAAGTATCTGCAACACACTTTACCGACAAAAATCAGTCTTCAAGTATATAAAGAACTCCAGTAAGTCAGTAAGAAGAAAACACCCGCTGGAAAAGCTGGGCGTTTCACAGAGGAGGGAAGTTGCAGGCGAACAGCAGGTGCGTGGAAGGAGGCGTGCTCCATGCGTCCAGCAGAACCACACGGCTTTGTGTCCACGTACGGGCTCACGCCACGCTCTTTCCGTGCCCCGCCGTCCTCGTGCCCATGTTAGATTTTCCTCCTACCTCTGCTGTACACAACACACGTTGTTCTTTTTGCTTTAAAGCGTCTGTTATATTTTAAAAGGATTAAAAAGTGAGAGAAAATGTCATTTATTTTTTACCAGTTCATCTATCACTTTTATGCTCTTCATTCTTTGTGTTGACTCAGGTTTCTATCTGGTGTCATTTTCCTTCAGCCAGAGGGCTTTCTTTAACATTTAGCCTCACACAAGCCGCAGCTGATGGATTCTCTTAGCTTTTGTTTGTCTGAAAAAAGTCTTTGTTTGCACTTTTGAAAGATATTTTTGTTGTAAATAGAATTCTAGCTTGTCAATTTTTGTTCTTTTAGTACTTTAAGGACATTGTTCCATTGTCTTCTGTATTGCATTGTTTCTAATGAGAATTTAGCCATTGTTGTGATCTTAATTTTCTGTATATAATGTGTCTTTTTTCCCCTGACTGCTAGATTTTGTCATTCTAGCTGGTTTGCAGCAACTTGATTATGTTGTGCTTTAGTTTGATTCTCTTTGTGTTTATTTTACTTGGGGTTCTTTGAGCTTTTATAATCTGTAGGTTTATAATTTTAATCAGATTTGCAAAAAGTTTGTCCACTATTTCTTTAAATATTGTTTTTCTTCTCCTTCCCTTCTCTTTTATTCTCAGACTCGATTTCCTGACGTTAGATTGTTTGATGATATTGCACAGGTCCCTAAGCTCTTTTAATTCTTTTCAGTTCATTTTTCCTCTTTTCTCCAGTTTGTATAGTTTCTGTTGCTGTATCTTTTAGTCAGTGATCTTTTCTTTTTTAGGTTTTAGTCTACTGTTAGGTCCATCCAGTGAATTTGTTTCTGATATTGTATTTTCAGCTCCAGAAGTTTCATTTATGGTTTTTATATCTTCTGTCTTTCCTCATTATGTTTATGTTTTCCTTTAAATCTTTGATCATATTTATAACAGCTGTTTCCAGGTTCTTTTCAGCAGATTCCATCATTTCTGTCCTTTCTAGGTCTGTTTCATTGACAGCTTTTTTTGTAGATGTGAGTCATGTTTTGTTGCTTCTTTTCATGGCAAATAATTTTTGATGTGATGCCAGACATTATGAATGATGTGTTGTTTGGTGTCTGCACCTTGTTTTCTTCCTTTAAACCATGTTCGGGTTTGTTCTTGCAGGCAGTTAAGATGCTTGAGGGTCAGGTTGATCCTTCAGGCTCCTTCCTTTCTTCCCTCCTTCCTTCTCTCCCTCCCTCTCTTCCTTCCAGTGTGGTGGGTGGTGTTTTCAGGGTGATGTAAAACATGGTGTCCTAGCCAACATCCTGAGCCTCCTAAACACGCCTGTAAAATGGTGAGGAGTCTGTGTGACTTTTGCGTTAAAGAACTCACTTTTTTCCTTCCAGAGAACTACTATCAAGTGATGCAATGAAAGACTACAATAGGGCTCGAGTCTACCTGGATGAAAACTACAAATCCCAGGAGCATTTTACAGTAAGTGTTCTTTCATTCCATAGAATAAGCATGACACAAATGGGGTGTGTGCTGAAGCCATCCTTCTCCTAATTAAGTAAGGAGAATTGGGTAGACTGCTCTCTATCACAGCATAATGCCATTGTGCCTGAATTAAAATCTCACTGCACTTCTGCAGCCGGTTGGGTGGTCCGAGTCCATGGCTGGCCTAGCAGAGAGGTGGGCACAGTGCAGATGAGGGGCCTCAGCTGCTCCTGGCAAGGCACCTTGATTGGCTCCTTGTCAGTTGGCATAGATGAGGCCTGCGTGCACGTTGGGAGGTACACAGCCAAGGAGGCCCAGGGCCACGGTGTGTGGGAAGAGAAGTGGGAGAGTCAGGGGCTCTAGGGTGTACAGAGACGAGGGCTTAAACCCGGCCCTGGATCTGCTCTGCAGAGGAGCCTGTGCCACCAGGCTTGCTTCTGTGCTCAGTCAGTCCTGGGAGTCCTGGACAGACCTCCAGAGAGGCTGGCTCTCCCTCCAGAGGGGTCAGGTGGCCTCCAGAACGGCTGGCTACAGGGGAGCAGGACAGAGCCCTCCATGGAGCTGGGAGAGACCTGTTCCTCCTCCTCAAGAGTCCTTGGTCTGGCAGGGACACTGGACACCTGGGAAGGCAGTCCCAGTGAGGCGTGACAGCCACAGGATGGACACGGGGTACAGGAGGGGACTCAGAGGCTTCTTGGAGAAGCAGATGTTGGACGGGTTTTGAGTAGCTGGTTGTGGGTTCACAGGATAATGTCCCAAGCACCGTGTCTTAGGAGGCCCTGAAGCAGCTGTGTTAGCTTGGTTTCCTCTGCTTTCTGTCCCCTGGCGTCCTTTCCCTCCCGCTATCCCATTGCTGCATGTGCCTGTTTGACAGTCTTCTCCACGATGCGTGTCGTTGCTGCAGGCAGCAGCAGTGTGGGTCCTGCTCCTCAGCTCGTCCCCCAGCCCCGGGAGCCTGGTGTGCAGCAGGCATTCAGCCACCGTCTGCCAGCTGCTTGGAGCGGTGGGCTCTCATGTGCCGAGGCTGGGCTGGGGCCAGGGAAGAGTGTGCTATGCAACAGGAGCAGAGATGCCCCCTCCCCGGGGCTGCATCATGGAGATTGTCCTGCGGGTTAGCGAGGCACTTGCCAGTTTTCAGTCTTTAAATTGGGGGCATCTGATGCCAGTTAAGTCATGTCCTCCCGTCACTGAGAGAGTCACTTGACTACAGGTTCATGTCTCCACCCTTAGCTATGTCTGCAGGATCCTGCGTCCTGGTGTCTTTCCTCTGCTGCTCTCCTTGGCAGCTCCTCCAGACCCTCCTCCATGCCCACCCCCCTCCATTCACAGGTGGCCTCACCGCTGGCCTGCTGTGCTTGGTCCTCTACCCCCCTGCTGCACTGGTGTTGGCCCTCGTCCCCTGAGGTTGGACACAGCCCCCTCCCTCTCTCCTCTGCCTGTCTACCTTCTCCTTGCTGGCTGCCTCCTCTCAGCTCCTCCTTTGGATGAAAACACTTCTTCCCTTGACTTGCACACTTCCCTCTGCTATGACCCATCTTCCTGCTTTTCCCAAGCAAGACTTATTCAGATGAAAAAATAGAGTATCTGGAACTAAAAATACACTAGTTGGGGTTAACATCAGGTTAGACACTATAGAAGAAAAGAAAAGTTAATTGAACTCGAGGACATGGCAATAGAAACTATTCAAAATAAAACACATAGAGAAACAAACGTTATTAGAACGTCACTGCCCTGTGGTATAAGATCTAGTGGTCTGACCAAGTGGCAGCGGAGTCCCAGGAGAGGGAGGAGGAAATGGACGAATACTTGAAGAAGTAATGGCTGAAAATTTTCAAAATTTCTGTTTTGTTTTTTTTTTGTGTGAGGAAGACCAGCCCTGAGCTAACATCTGACGCTAATCCTCCTCCTTTTTTATTTTTTGCTGAGGAAGACTGGCCCTAGGCAAGCATCCGTGCCCATTTTCCTCTATTTTATATGGGACACCGCCACAGCATGGCTTGACAAGTGGTGCGTTTGTGTATGCCCGGGATCCAAACCTGTGAACCCCGGGCCGCCGAAGCGGAGTGCACGCACTTAACTGCTGCACCACTGGGCCGGCCCCAAATTTTCAAAATTTGATAAAATGTATGAACTCATAGATCCAATTACTGTAACAAGCTTCAAGCAGAATAAACATTACATCCCATGGCACATCATGATGAGATTGCTGAAAACAGGTTATATAACGGGTTTCTCCTTGCCACCATCATCCTCAGAGGGGTTGGTTTCTGCCTGCGTCTCCGCTGTCTCGTTCAAGCTGCCGTGTCCCAGCAGTCGTTGGTCACCTCCTCTTGTGGAAACTGTCCTCAGGTCTTCACAGCTTCCTTTAAATAGAAGACACAGGTATTTTAAAAGTAAAGGGATGAAGAAAAATACATCATGCAAACATAAGTTAAAAGGAAGTAGGAGTGGCCGTGTCAGTACCAGTGTAGACTTCAGGACGAGGAGTGTTGGCAGGGAGAAGGGGGCGTTTCGTGAGGATAAAGAGGTCAGTTCCTCAAGAGTGCGGTGTGCACCCAGTGTCAGGACCCACGTGTGCGTGAGCGCTGAGGGAACTGAAGGAGAACTAGGTCTACCGCCTGGGCGTTCCGACGCTCCTCTCTCATTAGCTGCTGCTGTGGGTGGACAGGAAGTCACCACCAGCCAGCTTGACCTCACTGAGGTCTGTGGGACACTCCGCCTAGAGGAGCAGCGTGCACAGCCAGAGGAAAAGGCAGACCGACAGGGCGGGGACGGGAGCGAGAGGACTCCTCATGGAGGGCCTGTGCCGGAGGACGGGAACGCCACGTGACTGGGGAGGGAGGAGTTGGCTTCCACTCTGTTTCCTCAAGAATATCTTTCACAATAAAGGTGAACGTTCGACAGAGATTTTTTCAGACAGGGGAGGTTTGCTTTTAAGTTTTTCCTGATAGGTGCCAAGCAGCCTTCGGGTGGGGAGTTTAGGTCCGTCTCCGAGGGCCGCCTTTCCGAGGGCTCTGCCTGAGGCCTGTATTCTGGTGTTTCCACCCTGGCTGCTGGACCACAGGCTGTTCCCAGGCCTGGATGAGTCTCTGACTTGGTGTGTTGATGTGGAGCACTCACCATGACACATTGAAGTCTGGGCCGTAAGGCAAACCACACATGTATGAGAGGTTGAAATCATACAAGATAGGTTCTCTGACCACAAAGGAATTAAATTAGAAGTAAACAAAAACGATATCTGGAAAATTCCCAAATATTCAGGAATAAACAACCAACTTGTAAATACCCCATGAGTCAAAGAGAATGTCACAAATGAAATTAGAAAGTATTTCCAATTACATGAAAAACAAACTGAAAATCTTCAGAATTTGTGAGATGTACCTAAAGTGGTGTGTAGAGGGAAATTTATAGCATTCAGTGCTTACATTAGAAATTTTAAAAATAAAGAGCAAATTAACCCAAAACAAGTAGAAGGAAGAAACTAATAAGAGCAAGAATCAGTGGAATAGAAATAGTAGAGAAAATCAGTGAAATCAAACTAGTTCCTTAAAATGGTCAACAAATCTGACAAACCTTCCCAGTGGATCAGAGGATCAGAACAGGGTGTGTCCGGGGATGGAGCCCGAGGTGCTGGGGTCCTCGAGGTGGAATTCAGGCCTTTCTCCTGGGCTGAGGCTGTCGCTCTGCTGAGGGAAAGAGTACCAGCACAAACTGCCGCCGGGCGTCTCCCGCCTCAGCGCCATGGGGGCGGGAGGGGACGTGCAGGGCTCCATGCACCCCGGGCGCTAGAGGGGCCTTGACACTTGTGAACAGAAACTGCAGCCTCATGGAAAGAAGGCCTGATGGCTGGAGCTGGTGTCTCCCCCTCCCTCCCTCTCTCTGTCTCTTTCTCTCACATACACAGCTCTGTGGACGTTTTCCATATCTTTCTCAAATGCTCACTTTTCTAGTTCTCCGTGGTCTGCTTTGTGTCACATATCTTTACATGCTAGCATTGTAATTGCTTTTCTCCTCCAGCCCAAACGTTGGGTTGGCTGAAAAGACAAATGGTTGAATGCGGGAGGAGCATCAGGGTGAAGAGAGTCCACTTTGGTCTTGCTTCATCCCTTGAGATTTATCTCAAAATGTCATTTCACAATTTGCAATGAAAAGCAAGTATTCCCAACATGTAGCAATTTCACTGAAGAAATATTCAGTGCAAACACTTGTGTATGAGGATGGTCACCCAAAATTACTTGATAGCAAAAATTGGAAGTAACTTTAAATACCCAGAGTTAGAGATTTTTGCACTGTGGAGCAGCCGTGCGACGGAAGAGTCTGCACCCTGCAACCACCACAGACGACGTGGCCCGGGGTGTTCAGTGAAGGCAGCTCCACCTCCAGGGCTCGCGTGAACAGAGGCCGGAGCCCACGCTCGCACCCCGTGAGCATCTTGCCATCCTGTTGGTCTGTTGAAGTACTTAACAATAATATTACATCTAGTCCATTCTTCACTGCATGGATTTTCAAGTTTAAAACATCTGAAACCAGGGTGCCTCTACCATTCATGGCATCTCACAGTTAGAATTGGCAGCATTTTCCTCTCTTGGTCATCAATACAGTAATGGCACTGTAGTTGGTAACATGGCCATCCTGCTTGGTTCCAGCCTGAGACAGCGCTCGCAGGTGGCACCTCACTGGGCAGGACTGACCCCGGCTTGGGGGCAGAAGGAGCTGCCCAGCGCACCGTATGGGACTCAGGGACAAGCCCAGGTGCAAAGGCCCGGAGTCTGTGTCTTCAGGCATCCACAGTGCTGGACAGAATGTAGGAGACGCTGCCCACAGAGGGCGTGGTGTGTGCCAGGTAGCTCTCTGTCAGTCCGGCGGTGCCTGTGGCCTGGCTTCCTTTTCAGGGTCCGTCCGCCTGGCGGTCCTCCCCCACAGCCACGGTCCTATGCGCTTGTGTCAGTGGCCAGTTGGATAACTGGGACAGCCATGTTTGGTAGGTGGGAAGTGGT